CTTTGACATATCTTAGAATGAAAGAAATCTCTCCTGAAAGTGTGGATTAATTATGCTGAATACATAAAAATTCAGCATAATTAAAGGTTACCTACTGTTCTTCCTTGAACAGATTAGGTCTGATTACATGTTTATGAACTATAAACATGTAATGAACATCCCATTGTTCATTACATGTTTGTGCACAAAATCATTCTTATATAATGAGATATTAGTCTGGTCAGCTGACCAGCTGCTCTAGAACTCAGTTTAGGTTGCTAGGTAACGGGGTGGGCTTTGCTGTGGTTGCTAGGTAACGGCACAAAACCACCTTATGGAAAGGTGTTTTTGTTTAAATATATGAACAAACAGTTGTTTTTGTTCATATAATTTGATAACATGATAAATTTGGTTTGTTTTGGACTCAGACATTCAACCATGAATTTGCAGAAAACAACATTAAACAGCTGTATTGTAGTGAAATTCAAATTCAAAAATACTTTATTTTTCCCAAAGGGAAACTAAATGTTGCTGTAACTCATATTAATATCACGATGTTTGAAAACACATGAATCTTTAAAACTATCAGCATCGGAATCGGTGATACCGCCCCAGTATTTACTTTGTATCGGATCAACATCGAAATATGCAGCATCACTGACATCATCTTGTTTGTTGAATTAAGTTTGATTCATAATGATCCAGTGAATCTTTTTAAAAACTCAAAACATCAAACCTGGGCTGAAATATTCAGACTGAATACATTTTATGATTTATTACATCTGGTGAAAAATATTGCTCTACATATTTAATCTTTTTCTGTCTGTATTTGAGCACAAAACAAATGCGAAACCAATGTTTTTGTTCATATATTCGTTAACACGATAAAATTGTTTTGTTTTGGACTCAGATATTCAACTATGACTTTGCAGAAAACAACATTAACCTTTGATTTTGATCATCCGACAGAACAGGTAGGTTAAGTTGTTCAAGGAATTGTTTAATTTGCTGCCCATCTTTTAAGCTTGGTTGTGTGTATAATTGTATATAGTAAGTTTGGAAAACTTGTTGGATTTCATTTTGTTTATACACACACCTCTCAGAATTTGGGTCCCTTATTCTGTATATCGTGTTATCTGCTTGTTGTTTTTGTAATTTTCTCCCCAAGAGTTTAGCAAATTTGGCACCTGATTCATAATATCTTTGTTCAGTATAGATAATCTTTTTCCATATTTCTTGTAGATACATTGCATTAAGTTTATTTCTTAATATTTTAAGCTTTATACTATGTTCTGGTTTTAATTCTCTTATGTTTTGTCTCAACCTCTTTTATTTCATTGTTTAATTCTGATAGTTTTAATTGGTTTGCTCTCTTTTTTGGACACAAAAAGATATAATTTTACCCCTCATAACTGCTGTTAGTGCATCCCAAACTATTTCTGGACTAACCTCTCCGTTATTGTTTTCTTTTAAAAACGTGTTTATGTCAGATTTGATTAGTTCTGTAAATTGGAGGTCATTCAGTACACTCGTATTTAATCTCCATTGTGTATTTTTAGGGTCCTCATCTAATTTTAAAGTTAATAATAAGGGGGCATGATCAGAGAGGTTAATGTTGCCTATCTCACAGTTACAGATCTTATGGCAATCTCTTTTAAAAGTAAAGAAAATCTTTTCTAGAGTATACCGTATGTGCATGAGAGAAATGAATTTGTTGGGGAATTTGTTGTGAAGAGTCCAACCATGGATTAAGTCATATATTCCAATCTCCTCCACAAATAAGTATACCCGTTGATTGTCCCATTAATCAAATAGTTTTTTATAAAATGAAAAGTCACTGCCAGGTGGAACGTATACATTACATAGTGATATACTGGTTCCATCTATTCTCCCTGTTATTAATGAATATTGTCGTTGGTTTCAGAAATAAGTTGAAATGGAACTCTCTGTGATATTAATATGGCTACACCCCGTCTAAGACCAGATTTATGCGATGAGTAATATATTTTGGTGAAGCCCATTCTTTTTAATTTTTCATGTTCCCCAGATGCAAGATGTGTCTCTTGCAACATAGCTATCTGCACATTTTCTTTCTTCATTTTAGATAGTATCTTATTCCTCTTCATGGGGTTAAGAACCCCATTTACATTAACTGATGCTAATTTTAAGGTTTACCTGTCCGTCCATTGGTGGTTAANGGAGNCAGCGCTCTGTGAACTCTTTCAATTTTGAGCTCAGCATCTTGTGGGAGATCCAAACAGTCTCGAAGCAGATTTTTTACGAAGCCCTCGATGTTGTTACCTTCAGCCTTTTCGGGAATACCTCAAGTCCTTATGTTATCTCGGCGTGCGCGGCCCTCCTGATCAATGAGCTCAGCTTCCATGTCGTCCTGGCGCTGAAGAAGTCGTTTAATTAGGGATGACGTCGCCTGCATGGCTAATCTTACCTCTTTGCATGTTTCCTCAGGTTCTCTAATCCACCGGCAACCACGTTCAGCAGCATACACAAACATTAATGATCCTCTACTGTCATCTGAATCTCATTTAGTTTAGGCTGCATTCACACCAGCCAGGTTTTGGCCACTTTAGTTAGTTAGTCTGGTTTGTTTTAGAGAGATGTGAATGTGAATAAAACTCTGATTTGGAACAAAAAAAGAACTCTGGTCCGTCTAAAAATCTAGTCCTCGGTTCGGTTTAAGTGAACTCAGTCACGATATGAATGCATATGATGGGCTGGTGGTCACTCCAAATGCAGAAAGCTAATTAAAACGCAAAGCGTTCTGGGAAAATACAACCAAAACAAATGTGCTGACCTCGCGCTAGCGGTTGAAATTAAACGGTTGGTCTTTTTTCCCCCCAAAGACAAAAGAGAAATCCAACAACTGCTAAGAGCTAAAGCAGCTCCATTTTCATTTACATTCAAGTACACCTCTGCAGCAAACAAAAAGGGGCGGAGACATTTTGTGGAGAAGGAAGTTGTGTTCAGTGTCTTCTTCAGAGGTTTTCTTGTCGTTTCCTTCAGTGGTTCTTAGTTCAACGCCCCCCACAGGCGAGGGGGGGAACAGGTTTTTCGTTTGACACTGGAAAAGCGAACCGCAGCAGCTGAAAATCTAACAAATGTTAAAAAATCTTTAGTCTCCAGTTTGACCTTTGTTCAAATTGTAGATTAACTCTAGGTCGCCACATGGTGTCTGTGAAGAGCTTCCTGGATTTGGATGTAGAGATTTGTTCTGTACCCAAGCAGACTGTGTCCTTGGGTAAAACTCTCCACCCTCTTTACCTGCTGGTGGTGGTCAGAGGGTCCGGTGATGCCTTGATGCCCCACGGCAGCTTTGGTTCCTGGTAATTTACCACCATCAGCGTGTGAATGTGTGTAAATGGATGAGTGTAAAGCGCTTTGGACTTGATAAACAACTTTACAAATGGAGGCTCTTGGTATTTGCAGGTTAATTTTTATTATCTCAAAGAGACAAAGCTTTCAATTAAATAATTTTTTTCATCTTGAATCCATATGAAAAGAAATTTAAAAAATAGAACTGAATATGGAAAACAAAAATTCCCAAAGTCTGGATAGTTCAGCTGCAAATGTAAATCTGAATTTCATTTATTCATTTCTTGAATCTTAAAACAAAAATTATTAATTTGTCAAAAACAAAGTTTTGTAAATGTGATACACTATAAACTGGGATAATTTAATCATCACTTGTTGATAGTTCAGAAAATCTGGTGAGGGCTGCCCCCCCTCTAAAAATGTGGAGTAACAAGTTAATTTAGATCTGATTTCGTAATTTCATACATAGACATGCTCAAACATTCAAAAATAAGAGAAAAGAGTGATTTGTTAGGATCGCAATTAGCTACATTTTAGCAATCAATTAAACTGTATGGTCAGTTATATAGTTATTCAAAGCCCATTAGAGCTTAAAGTATATTTGTTCATTATAACATGTCCATGTAAAATTATTTAACATAATTAATCCTCTCATAATTATTATGACTCAAAGAAATTAGTGCCCTTGAAATTTTGAGAAATGTCTTTTTTTATGTACATCTGTGAGCTCTAAATTAATTGGTGAATTGTTTAATTTGGCAATTTGATACTGTCACAGTTGGTGGGAGTTGATACTATTTACTGAAGTGACCGCTATGTGGTCGTTTGATAACAACAGAAGGACACAAGGATATGATTGTACTAAGAAATGTTAATGATTTCATAATTTCAAGAATTTGTAAAAGAGAGACAGAGGTTGGGGAAGATTCGTTCTTTTTTTTTTTCCACTGTTGATCGTTACAGGCTCTCCACCAAGATCAAAGGGGAAGCAGAAGAAGAAAAAAACGAGAAAAAAAACAAAACATAATTTGTTACAATTGTCCACTATGAGCTGAGACGTGTAACATAAACCTGAACTTCATTTATTAATTTCTCCAAGTTTTACTTTTAGTTAAATATAAGTATATATATATATTTTTTAATCCATCTCATCTGCCTTTTATAATTCACAAAGGCAGTACTACTGAGGTCAAGTTTAGACGTCATCTTATTTGGATTGAAAGGAAGGCGCCTTCATCAAAATTCACGGTGCTTCTTTTGATTTTCATATGCAAAGTTTGTCTTTGAGGTACATCTTTGTAAGTAATTTCTTTGTCTTAGCAAGATGGTATATTTGATCAGGGTGGATTTCTCTAATTTAAAGCAATTTAATGTAAATAAATAAAAAGTTACCCTGCAAGTATACTGTGTGCTGTACAGAAGTATTTTTCTCCTTGCAGATTTCCCCTGTTTTTAGTAATTTGTCATGCTTGTAGTAAATGTTTTAGATCATCAAACAAATGTTCAAATCAGAAAACACTAAATGCAATTTCTAAATTATAATTTTATATGAAAACAGGGATAAAGTTGTCCATAACTAAAGCTTTCACATGCAGTAGCTTAAAATACTCCTTGAAGTACTTTAACGTTTTTTTTGTTTTTTTTATTTACGTTTTTGTCAAATTACAAACAGAAACTTCAATGTATTTTATTATGATTTCATGTAATAGACCAACACAAAGTAGCATATAGTTGTGAAGTGTAAGAAAAATTATGTAAGTTTTTTTTTTCCTTTTAATTAATCCCAAAAAATGTCTGGTGTCTTTTGTATTTAGTCTGCCTCAATCTGTAACTTCAAAATAAAATCATTCTGCCAATTTTTTTTGCTTTTTTTTTTTATTTAAAAGTTTTATTAAAAGCTCTTTTAGAACTAAAACAGAATGCAGAACATATTGATATTATATGGTGGTCTTACATTTTCTTACGCTACATTATCAATCAAATCAAATACAAACCAGTAAGTAAACCTGGATTTGTTTGCACAACCAGATTAAGAATAGATAGAAAGAAAAAATACATGCATTGTTTCATTTACATTTTGCACATTCTGTTATGACTTGCAATTACACAAAAATACTAAGCTACTAAACTTAATTTCCTTGCTGAGGAAATCTCAGCTAATCTAGAAACTCGTCACAGTTGATACAGTTTAAAGTTTAAACAAAAGCAAAACAGCCTGACATTACAGTTCAACTCCATTAAAAACAAGACTATTAATCAAATGAGGGATGCTTAAACGGTTCCAGTGACTATGTGGTTATATCTTCTACAAGTGGATAGAGGAAATTCAGCTACACATTTTTAGTTTATCTGTTCATGCTTCATTTTACATTGGCAGCTTTATGATATGCTAAAGCGCTAATTTATTATTTTCAGGTATCTTGTTTTAAAGGTGACCTGTTATGCTGCCTTGAACAGGTATAAAAAACAGGCTTGTTACATTTTCTTTGCACAAAATCATTATTAAGTAATATTTCTGGATGGTAAGTCAACAATAAAACACTGGTCTTTTCCGTTGAACAACGTACTCAGCGGTAAAACCAGCTGCCCAAACATGGCGGAACTCAGCTTGGGTTGCTAGGCGACGGGCTGGGGTTGCTAGGAAACGGCACAGTGCCTGACTGTGACTCATTTTTCAGACACCAAAACAACCATAACTTGCTGCCTAAAAACGGCTTGGTGCTTTTTTTTTCTTTTTTTTCTCCCAAAATTCAATTCAATTAAAAAATATTTTATTGAGCCTCAAAACAGTCTTTTGAAGTACTTCAACTGTTCTTAGAAGCAGTTGAAAGCCAAATGTAAGTATAAAGATGTACAAAAAGTGAATTTTGTGTAATAGGTCCCCTTTAAAACCTAAGATACCATTACTTTCTATTACAATCATTTGCAATCTGATTTGACCAAAAGGTGAAATCACAAGGCCTATAAATCAGCAGTTAATTTGCTGCATTCAGTTTTCTTTGTTTTTCTTGGAGATAATCTTCCATTGCACTTTGAAATCTGTCCATCCCCGGTTTGTCAGCAAGGTGCCAAGCTGAGGAAGGGTACATTTTGTCACGTTCCTTTATTTATATTGAGACAAGTAAAAGGAAATGTGGTCTCTTTACCTGCTGGAGGACATGGGCGTTGACGGCTGGATCGGTCAGATCGACGTCGCTCGTCATCATTTTCACAGTGGTGCTCGTTTTTACCACTGAGCAGAAAAAAATAAGCCGTGTCACAACCACAAGACAAAACTATGATGGCGTATTACAGCCTTTCTAGAAAAAAGGAGTAAATTTGAGAAAAGTGAGTTAATTTGTAAATCTAAAAAGTAAAAACTTTACTTGGAAAAAAAACTAGAAAATTTCTGAGATTCATATCAAAATTTGACTTTTTTCCCAGAAATATTTTGACTTTTCAAACTCTGAAATTTCCATGTTTTTTCAAGAAAATGTCTGAGATGATCAAAATTTAAGTTTTTCCAGCAAATTTTTAACTTTCTAAACTCAGAAATGTCCAAGTTTTATTAAAATTTCTGAGATTAATTTCAAAATCTCAGTATTTTTCAAGCACTCACTCAAAATTTTCCAAACTTTTTTCTATGACATTTCTAAGTTTAATCTCTAAATTTCTGAGTTTTGTTCTAGTAATTTTTAACTTTTCCATCTCATAAATTTAGAAGATTTTCCTTGGACTTTTCTGAGATTAGTCTAAATTTTTGTTTTGTTTTTTTCCAGCAAATGTTTTGACTTTTCAAACTCTGAAATTTCCAAGATTTTACATATTTTGTTCTATAAATTTTCTGAGACTGAAACTTTCAGAATTTTTTTCAAGGAAATTTTTGACTTTTCAAGCTCAGAAATGTTTATATTTTTCTTTAGAAATTTTCAGAGATTGATCTCAAAATTCGTCCCTACTACAGCGTTGTTAAAAAATCAAGTTTTTTGACATAGCATCTTATTTAACAATCACCTTGTTCGCAAATGAAGACTTTGGTGGCATGACACCTTTCGTCACCCCACTGATGTAGTGTATTCTCGCAGACACAGTGCTGGATGCCCTCTACGTTGTTTGGTTCGGAATTGCCCCATCGTTGGAATCGGCTGGGACTCTTGTCAGACCAGCTCCATGGCACTCGGTACAGACCGATCCAAACATCGACTCCAACTGGAATTAAGTGTCTGACTTCAGAGTTTTCTGCCTCGTTTTCAATCATTGCCAAGTCGGTGTGATGCATTCTGCAGTATGTTTGAGCAGAACTCCATGTTTTCAAAGTTGCAATGAACACAAATTGTTTCAGATTGTGCTCTGTCACTGCATAAAAACAAAAGCATGTTTTATTTTAAAAGAAGCAAACTACGACAGAATGTTAGTGTCACACTAAAAAATAAATAAAATTACAGGAATAAAGTCATATGAGAATAAAGTCCAAATAATGTTAGAATAAAGTCATAATAATAAGCAAATAAATATTGCAAGAATAAAAGTAATTCTAGAATAAAGTGAATATTTTGAGAATAATTGCATGCCCTATACCCCGTTGTAATAAACACAAAAGTTAGTCAAATTTAAATTAACTTCATTTTTTATACCAAAATGTATAAACTCTACATTTTTACTCACCATTGTAACAAATAAATTTGAGTTCCACATCACAGTTACCATTATACCACTGCCCACCATTAACCATTAACGTGCACATCTCCCCTGAATATCCGAAGTCTGGATCACCAGTGGCCCACGACTGGTAACCAGTTTTACTGGTTTCTCCAGTTGCAGACCATCTCCAGGAGTTGGACTCGTTGCCCATTTCAGATTTCCAAACATTCGGATCATCCCAGAGTCCGATCCAGGCCCAAGTATAGGAAATATCAGGTTCCAGTCTGTTTATGTCGTCCATGCTCTCAAACGTGGCGAGGTCGGTGTAATGCTCCCTGCAGTACAGCTGAGCTTGAGGCCAGGTCACTAACTTGTCAACATAGTAGTACTTTCGTAGAGGGAACTGCAAGCAGGAGCCCAGACAAAAACCTGAATATTGAAAAAGAAATGGTTGAAGGTAATGATTACTAAATTAGGTTTATGGATTATTTTGTGCTTAATGTAGGAAATTGTTACAGAAGTAATGATCAAATATCCAAAATGTGCAACCCGCTCACCCCACCACCACCAATTTTGCATAATAGATCCTCATCAGGCATTTGTGATAGCTAGCTAGCAATAGCTGCGTTTCCATTACAAATGAGCACAAAACTTTTTAAATATTCCGAAACCGTCACCCCACACATAATTGAGCAATTGTAGTGTTTCCATTAAATCACATGCGAATATGTTTGTTAACACTGTAAGTCTTTAAAAAACATGCGCACCATGATCCTCCAACTACTTTCTGTTGTCTTCTTCTTCGTGGTTTGCGCCAGTAACAACATCCGGTTGTTAATCATATGAC